CAGCAGGATGGAGAAAAGTATACTCTTACAACTTGGCAGTGTTTCTATTTTCAGGCAGAAGAATCTAGAGGTAATTAAGAAAAGTGAAGACCTGATGCAGTCCTTTTACTACTGGGCAGCTTCCAAAAAGGAACATTCAGTACAGCTATAAGCACCTCTATTTTGCACCACAATACTACAATGCCTTGTTGCTAGTACTGTGGTTATAGCAAGAAAATAAGGCTGTTGTGGAATCTTAATTGGAAAAGAATTGAAAATAACTGTACTTGAATACATAACCTAGGTGGTGAGTGTTTAGTTGCCATGGAGATTGGCAAAGACTTGCAACAGATATCTAATCTTCAGAAAAATGCAAAAGGGTATTGGTGCACAGAAATACTTTCCCTGTATTTTGGAGCAGTTTCATAGACTGTCCATTATAAATTGGCATTTCAAAAAGTCAGGGTTGTGACTGATATGAGACATAGTGGTTTAATGCAATTTGTGAAAAATAAACAATTGTCAAATGCAGGACTGAACAGGAGAGCAATTCTGACACCGCAAAGGCACTGCCGACGGGGACACCCACTCACCTTCAGCAAAATGTCTCATTGAGATTCAGCTCCCAACAACACTCAAGTGGAAGCTGTACTTTTGTAATGAAACGAAAACCTTTTTAGATACATTGTGAGTTTCTGTTTGCCTGGATATGTTTGACACTCAAGCCCAAGAGAAGAAAACAAATCTTTTTTCGGGCAGAACCCCCATCATAAAAGTCACAATGGCAAGCTTGATTTGGGTCCACTGTCCCAGGAGGGTGTCAATGGCAGCTGGACCAACTGATAGCAGCAGAAAGCACTCTCAGGGATGAAGGTACCTCAAAGGATGAGCCTCAATGCAGAAGAACAACTTTCTAGTACAACTGGACAAGTTGTTAGGCTTTTTCACCCAGAAACCCTGGCTGTGTCAAAACTAGTATGCAAAGTAAACGGGGCAAAACAAGGTACCTGATTCATCTGTCAGGGTATGTTTTACTGTGGGATCAGTAGGAGTGCTGGAAGAGTCCGTTTTATGCATCTGCTTTCTGAAAAGTAGCATAAAACGTTCACCTGGAAAGGCACGCAAAGAGATGTGGGTGATGTTAGAAGCTGGGGTCAGGTGAGAGAGGTCTAACGTATGGCTTTCCAGGTGAGGAAGCTGGATCCTGGGCTGCCAAGGCCCAGCCTGGCCAGCCCACAGGCTCTGATTTGTTTCCAGCAGAGCTCTGTACTCTTCACATAAGAAGAAACTGTAGTTGTGCTGCTCATTGCTCCAATGTAAAGCACAACAGATCTCTTTGTGCGATTTTTCTAAGGAACAGCAGCTAACTATATCTTATGGCATCTACCTTGCATCTTTCACTCTAGTTTAAGAGTAAACACAAAGTATGCAAGTGTGAAGTTTGGCCAGCTTTATTTTACAGTTTCTGGAAGTGCTTCACAATTAGTAGTCATAGCTTCTGGTGTGAAGAATTTGCCGTCTAATTTCAAGTGAAATGAGAGAGACTGAGTTCGTGGAGCTAACTCACTGAAATGCCTTTAATTGGTTGGGTTCTTTCTAACTAAGTAATAAGAGACATTATTAGGAACAACATGATTCAAACAGAGCAGAGTAATAGACAATCTGATTCATTACTGGTTCGCTCTCATTTTACACTGCTATAAAACTGAACTGAGAGAGTTGTGAGCTAGGACCCCAGAGTAAATTACGCCTAAAAAATATTGTGGTTTGTGTGTTGTGCCATAAAGGACAGGACCGGCTTAGAGGTAGACCTCTGCTGAAGGTTTATGATCTGGATTTAGATCTGAACAAATGCGAAGCCTCAGATATTCAGATTTGTGGTTTCAATCTGGGCTCTATAAGCTGTGGTGTTGATAGCTCTTTAGGCTGTAAGTAGTCAGACAGGAAAACCCATCCAAGAGCTCTGAGACCATGGCTTAAATCTTATCGAGATTAGTGTTAACTGAACCTGTCTCTTGTTGGATGGCTCTTCAGCTGCCAAAGTAAAACTGGTTTTTGGCTCACATCACAGGCAGTAAACCAGGGTCATCATTCCTCCTTTGAACATTACATAGTTCAAAGTGTTGCAAGTGAAGCATGGTGAAAAATAGCTGAAATAATATCAGCATTTCATAATTCAATGGAATTACCCAAATTAACACTGAAGCTAGTCAGCCAGTGTAGAAAACACTCTTGTTTCATTTCTCTTTCCTTGAAGTTGTCCCCTTAAATTAGAGCCACCACCTGTCTTTAAACATGTGAAAATGACCACTAGTGAAGTTGTCCCCTTAAATTAGAGCCACCATCTGTCTTTAAACATGTGAAAATGTCCACTACAAAAAATACTATATATATTCTGTATCTTACTTAAAATGTGTTCTGGCACATCTTTCCACCGTGTCCTGAGGGAAAGCTACAACAGCTTTCGTTACAGGAGGCAAGAAGAAAAGCTACCCACCCACATCCCCCCCCTCCCCTGATACACCTCAGCCCCTTTTTAAGAAGTGTGCTGTTGGGGTAACCCGCTGTTGGGGTAACCCGCTGCCAGGTCTCCAGGCTTCATACGCAACACGTGGGGCTTCAAAGGCAACACTTGTTGGATGTGGCCTTACAGCCTGGCCGCTGCTAGCTACCGTGGGGTTGGCAGATCTGCTCAGACCCACCGATCTCCACCTTCCTTCCTCCTAAGAGT